GTGATAGAGGCTGAGTTCTGGGTTGAGTGTTTGTGAAGAGTCAGTGATGGAGGCTCAGTTCTGGGTTGAGTGCTCAAAGTGTCAGAGATAGAGGCTGAGTTCTGGGTTGAGTGTTTGGAGTGTGAGTGATACAGGCTAAAGTTCTGGGTTGAATGTTGTGAGTGTCAGTGATAGAGGATGAGTTCAGGGTTGAGAGTTGGGAGCGTCAGTGATCGAGGCTTAGTTCTGGGTTGAGTGTTGGGAAAGTTAGTAACAGAGGCTGAGTTCTGGGTTCAGTGCATGGAGCGTCAGTGATAGAGGCTGAGTTCTGTGTTGAGTGCTGGAAGCGTCAGTGTCAGTTAGACCTACTGTCATTAAATTGATTTTACTAGCGCTTCAGTTACTGTTATGTAGCTTCATTACATGATCATCTAATTATCCATCATTGACGGTTTATATGTATAATAAAGCACTCCTCCTCGGTTATGGTTGGAAAAGTAAGCCCTCGACCACCGGGTTGAGAGAAGTAAGACCTCGAGCGCTACGCACTCTCGGTCTTACTTCTCCCCACCCTCCGGTCTCGGGTCTTACTTTCCCAACCATAACCTCGGAGTCGTGCTTTATCCTACACTTATCACATCGCTATATGCCTGTAATAGAATAACTTTCATCATCTCATGCCATTACCCATCACCGTAATGTGCCATTATCTAATTAGACCAAGTGCAGCTCTCAAGAATAAATGTTGGACACTTTCGCAATGCAAGAATTTCATTTTCCCCACCACCAACCCAGAAACTCCAACAACGCCTGAAGAATCTAGCTAATATTAACTGGACAGAGTAAAGAACACAGAAGGTGGCTGCAGTCCTAACCCCAGAATGGACATCGCCAGTGGTGTCTGACGCTCCAGAGGCAAAAATGAAGAACTTGCGACACCATCCAACAATATGCATTCCAACCACCTAAAGGTCTTCCACCCTGGTCATTGAGAATATGATTCATGATATTTAGGGATAGGACGGAATGTCTAAATGTACATTCAGTTATTTCCTGTATTCACCCTGTTTAGGAAAAAACAACTAAATTTGTTATTTCTGAGTCTAAGTTTAAAAAGAAATTAATGTCCTTCATTTTAAAAAAATGCCAACCGCTCCATAATATTTATTTGAACAAACTACTACTCAGACAAAATTTCAAACCCATAGGGCCTATGGTGACACCATCTCTCTTATGGAACATGGTAAATGTGATTAATAGAAACGAAAATCAAAGGGAAACATAATTGAACTAAGTAAATAAATAAAACCATCTGAAAGTAGACGATAAGGGAAATCCAATGGAACCTCATAGGAATCTGCGTAACGGAAACTCACTGGAGCCATACAGGAATTTAGGTAACGGAAACGCACTGGAGCCATACTGGAATCTGGGTAACGGAAACGCACTGGAGCCTTACAGGAATCTGGGTAACGGAAACGCACTGGATCCATACAGGAAACTGGGTAACGGAAACGTACTGGAGCCGTACAGGAATCTGGGTAAGGGAAACGCACTGGAGCCATGCCGGTTTCTGGGTAATTTGTAAGTTTCCGTTTACCGGAAACCTGAAGGATATTTAGAGAAACGGTGTCCGGAAACCAAGTTATTTTTCCTGTGATAGAGGCTGAGTTCTGGGTTGAGTGCTCGAAGTGTCAGTGATAGAGGCTGAGTTCTGGGTTGAATGCTGGGTACAATTTGTGTAGCCCATTTCTAGTGTTGCCTAACGTGATATTGCAGGAATAAGGCATGAAACCATACTCAGTCACATCCGATAATGAACAGAAACATTTTGGTGTGAGTATTGATCAGCAAACGGAGTGATGTTTCACGTTCATGGACCTTGTTGCGTATTGATCAGCAAACGGAGTGATGTTACACGTTCATGGACCTTGTTGCGTATTGATCAGCAAACGGAGTAATGTTACACGTTCATGGACCTTGTTGCGTATTGATCAGCAAACGGAGTGATGTTTCACGTTCATGGACCTTGTTGCGTATTGATCAGCAAACGGAGTGATGTTACACGTTCATGGACCTTGTTGCGTATTGATCAGCAAACGGAGTGATGTTACACGTTCATGGACCTTGTTGCGTATTGATCAGCAAACGGAGTGATGTTTCACGTTCATGGACCTTGTTGCGTATTGATCAGCAAACGGAGTGATGTTACACGTTCATGGACCTTGTTGCGTATTGATCAGCAAACGGAGTGATGTTACACGTTCATGGACCTTGTTGCGTATTGATCAGCAAACGGAGTGATGTTACACGTTCATGGACCTTGTTGCGTATTGATCAGCAAACGGAGTGATGTTTCACGTTCATGGACCTTGTTGCGTATTGATCAGCAAACGGAGTGATGTTACACGTTCATGGACCTTGTTGCGTATTGATCAGCAAACGGAGTGATGTTTCACGTTCATGGACCTTGTTGCGTATTGATCAGCAAACGGAGTGATGTTACACGTTCATGGACCTTGTTGCGTATTGATCAGCAAACGGAGTGATGTTTCACGTTCATAGACCTTGTTGCGTGTAGTAATGCAAGTACGATTAGAAATAACGAATCTATTTGATCCTAAGGTTGTGTGTGTTTTGATGGTGTGTATGAAACCATGCTCACTTTCGCTCGTTAAATACGTTTTGTATCTTACAGACACAGAGAAGTAATATGTATGTGTTCTATGACGCCACAATAGACGACATTCAAATGCTGGGTGGCGACACAGGGTGGTGGTGGTGCTTTACGAGTTGACTTCAATGGAATAGAATGAAGACATATAGATCGATGGGTTGAGCTGACAATATTATCACTCCCCGTTTATAATCACTGGTCTGTCATCGCCATATCTGTGTTCGTGGCCGTCATCACATAATTCCTTTCCAAATTCGTTTTTCCCCCTAATCTGACCTTACCTTCATCATCAAAGGCTGGACTTGCTAAATGAGTTTAGTTTTACGCCGCATTAACACGGCGGGGGACACCAGAAATCGGCTTCACACATTGTACCCGGGCCATCGGCGTGACGAGCGACGGCTTTAACCACTGGGGCTACCTTACCCCATCGCTCCTCACATGCTAAGAAAACGTCACTTTACGCTGGTATCTAAACTTAAAAACGAATGTTGTCGGAACAATAGTATAACGATAGAAAATGTTGTATTACCATGACAACTGCATAAATACGATAACAGATAGATCGGTGCCAGTGTAAGGCCAAGACCAGTGAAGAAAATACAGAAAATACTTATGCATATGAAGGACATTTGTGAAATTCAAACTTTTAATTGATAAATATATAATGAATATGGATTCATAGCACAATTCAGTAGGGGGCGCCACCGTGCCTTGCAATTCATTACAACACGGTAGGGGACGCCACCGTGCCTTGCAATTCATTACAACACAGTAGGGGGCGTCACAGTGCCTTGCAATTCATTACAACACAGTAGGGGGCGTCACAGTGCCTTGCAATTCATTACAACACAGTAGGGGACGCCACCGTGCCTTGCAATTCATTACAACACGGTAGGGGGCGCCACAGTGCCTTGCAACTCATTACAACACAGTAGGGGACGTCACAGTGCCTTGCAATTCATCACAACACAGTAGGGGACGCCACAGTGCCTTGCAATTCATTACAACACAGTAGGGGACGCCACAGTGCCTTGCAATTCATTACAACACAGTAGGGGACGCCACAGTGCCTTGCAATTCATTACAACACAGTAGGGGACGCCACAGTGCCTTGCAATTTATTACAACACGGTAGGGGGCGCCACAGTGCCTTGCAATTCATTACAACACGGTAGGGGACGCCACAGTGCCTTGCAATTCATTACAACACAGTAGGGGACGTCACCGTGCCTTGCAACTCATTACAACACAGTAGGGGACGCCACAGTGCCTTGCAATTCATTACAACACGGTAGGGGACGCCACAGTAGCAACTCATTACAACACAGTAGGGGACGTCACAGTGCCTTGCAACAATTACAACACAGTAGGGGACGCCACAGTGCCTTGCAATTCATTACAACACAGTAGGGGACGCCACAGTGCCTTGCAATTCATCACAACACGGTAGGGGACGCCACAGTGCCTTGCAATTCATTACAACACAGTAGGGGACGCCACAGTGCCTTTGCACAATTCATTACAACACAGTAGGGGACGCCACAGTGGCAATTCATTACAACACGGTAGGGGACGCCACAGTGCCTTGCAATTCATTACAACACAGTAGGGGACGCCACAGTGCCTTGCAATTCATTACAACACAGTAGGGGACGCCACAGTGCCTTGCAATTCATAACAACACAGTAGGGGCGCCACAGTGCCACGGTAGGGGACAACAGTGCAATTCATTACAACACGGTAGGGGACGCCACAGTGCCTTGCAATTCATTACAACACAGTAGGGGACGCCACCGTGCCTTGCAATTCATTACAATTCATTACAACACGGTAGGGGACGCCACAGTGCCTTGCAATTCATTACAACACAGTAGGGGACGCCACCGTGCCTTGCAATTCATTACAACACGGTAGGGGACGCCACAGTGCAATTCATTACAACACAGTAGGGGACGCCACAGTGCCTTGCAATTCATTACAACACGGTAGGGGACGCCACAGTGCCTTGCAATTCATTACAACACAGTAGGGGACGCCACAGTGCCTTGCAACTCATTACAACACGGTAGGGGACGCCACAGTGCCTTGCAATTCATTACAACACAGTAGGGGACGCCACAGTGCCTTGCAATTCATTACAACACGGTAGGGGACGCCACAGTGCTTGCAATTCATTGCAATTCATTACAACACAAGTAGGGGACGCCACAGTGCCTTGCAATTCATTACAACACGGTTCAGTGCCTTGCAATTCATTACAACACGGTAGGGGACGCCACAGTGCCTTGCAAATCACAACACAGTAGGGGACGCCACAGCGCCTTGCAATTCATTACAACACAGCAGGGGACGCCACAGTGCCTTGCAATTCATTACAACACGGTAGGGGACGCCACAGCGCCTTGCAATTCATTACAACACAGTAGGGGACGCCACAGCGCCTTGCAATTCATTACAACACAGTAGGTGGCGTAGATATGCCTTACACTGCTTTTAGATATATGCCAATGACCTGAAATGACCTGACATGACCTGCAACTCGCCTGATGATGTCTTACAAGCCTCACATTGCCTTGCCCTGCAGCCTAACGTCTCTGCCGCAGAAGGTGGAGCATCCCCTCCTCTACGTGCCTCAGTGCGAATCAAGAAACTAGAACATCCTGAATCCCGGTCCCCAATCGCGAGGCTGTACACACGTACATCCAACTGTGATGTCTTTGTCGACGGGTTCGTACAGCAACATGCCATTTTCGCAGCGAGTCTTTAGTAGTGTGATGGTAGACTGGACAGGTTCGCACTGGTTCTTGCTGTTGCCGACGCAATCCTTACACATACACCTAGCTTCCCAGATCTGTCGTGGATAGTACGTCTCATCCAAGGTGGTGATTTCGTAGTACCAGGGACAGACGGAACGTTCCGAGACAGGGTCATGAGGGTTGTTACTGACGCTTCTTGGACAAGAACGCCTTCCATTGTATTCCATCAGCCTGTGCATTCTACGGTAGATTAGTTGTATGTCGTGAGGCAGTTGACACCCAGATGTTCCCTCCCGCGTCATCAGGCTCCCAGGGTTTGAATACCGTCTTGTCAAAACCTTACCAATGTCCACGGAATCACCAACTTCCATGACTGAATCTTCAATGCCCATCAGTGAATCATCAATGTCCACCGCCGACACGGCATACGGCGTCACGAGGACACACATCGTCACCAGCACACGAGCTTGCCACATACTTCACAACAGAGATCGGTTCAGGCCTTGCTGCTATGAGTAGAACGGGAATGTTGAAAGCTTTCATTAAACATGCCATTTTATTGCCTCTGATTCACGTGGTACATCGAATGTGATATGTTACTATTTAATTATTCCATCATTTAATATGCCCGTTAGAAGCAATCTGGATTAATTCACAATCGTTGTTTCAGCTTAAACGGTAACACTGCTCAGCGCTGTTTGTTCTAAGTTTGTTATCACGTTTAAATCATGCTATGGGGAGCATGTAATATCGTTAATGGCTGCCGTATGGGTTACATGACAAGTGGTGGGTTGAGCCATCAACACCTGCAGCCCCTAGCACATGGGTTAATGACCATCCGTGTAAACGGGAGGTTTCCAGTGGCCAACACCTCAGAATCTTCCTTTAAATGTCCCGTAGCTCACCTGGTTACAACCAATTAAGTAACTCACTCACTCACTCACTCACTCCATCTATAATCACAGCTTAGTTCTTCAAGAAAGGCAACTGAACGTGTCCAGGGAGTCAACACCCCTGCCTCAGGAATCTGATTCATGCCATAAACTATAAAAAAGATACTCAAAAAGTCTCATCACTCCCCTTTATTTTGCCTAATTGTCTAACATACAGCAATACGCAGTGTAGAACAGTGGCCCTTCAGCAGGCCCAAAACTTGTGAGTTCGAATCCTTGTCCGCCATGTCAGCCACGGGCGGGCGTAAACAGCATTACTTCAGGCTTAGCTCCCCCTCAAAACAGACTCACTGTGAAATAACTGGGACACTGTTTACTCTGCCTTGAAATCTAACTCACTTACCCTTTGCTTACCCAGCAAATGTAAGGAATTCGCTTTTGATGTCTCATTTATATTCTCTTTTACGCGGCTTTCTTTTCAATATTCCAGCGGTGTATTACACCAATGTACCGTTGTGGGGAATCGAACCCGGGTCTTCGGCGTGACGCGCGAGGGCTTTAAGCACTAGGCTTCCCTTTGGGGAGTCACAGATCTCTGGCCCTATTTGTAAGTGCTGCTTCCTACGTGCTGACAGCGTCATAGTAATATAACCAGAATATTGTTTAAAGTGGAACCAACTGACTCACTCACTTACAAAACGTCTTTGCGTTTCTGTCCACGTTAAAATGACGAAACTCCTATTTGTCAAAGTTTAAGCAGGTACCTATTGAGATAAGTCAACTTTATCTGAGGGATAAGCTCACCCTGATCCAGCTATAAGGCGTCATGGGTTGGGACAGTGGTCGAGATAATCTGAGGGATAAGCTCACCTTGATCCAGGTATATGGCGTCATGGGTTGGGACAGTGGTCGAGATAATCTGAGGGATAAGCTCACCTTGATCCAGGTATATGGCGTCATGGGTTGGGACAGTGGTCGAGATAATCTGAGAGAAGATCTCGCCCTGATCCAGCTATAAGGCGTCATGGGTTGGGACAGTGGTCGAGATAATCTGAGGGATAAGCTCACCTTGATCCATCTATAAGGAGTCATGGATATTGAAACAAATGCACGTGCGGTACGTGATAAGCGTTAACTTAGACCAACCGTACTTTCTCTCGGTGTTTCATTTAATGTGCATAAACCCTTGTAA